AGAATTGCTACGGCCGGCCATTCCCTGGTCTGAGGCAGCTGCCACTCCAGGATTTCCACAGAGACTGTCTGGCCCCCTCATTGTCATCTCCCACCCTTCTCTGGCAAACCCCGGGCCAGCCCTTCCTCTGCAGGGACAGCAAGGACATCAGCAGCACGGCCTGTCTCGTGACTGTGGTCAGCCAGCTGGGGTCAGGGGGGTTACGCCTCCCCCCCTCCCCCACGGCCGGCTGGGGAGAGTCCTGAGGGCAGGACTCTTGCCCAGCCCCCCCCCCAGGCCTCCGCTCGGTGCCTGCTTCCCAGACTTCGGCAACGTGTCACCTGTGCACGTTGGCTAGAACCACGTCATCCTTACATAATTATTTAGCAATATTTTTCTGTGCATCTCCTTTTTACTCTATTTCAGTGAACGTATTTACTATGGCTCTACAAAGAACCTCAGTCTACCTGTAAAATCATGGGCTTGATATACAACTCACAACCTTTTTTCTAATATTCCCCCACAATAAATAAATAAATAAATAAATAATTCTGAACATTTAAAAAATGTTTTGGACCGTGGCCAGTGTGGCTCAGTTGTTTAGAGCATCATCCCATCGACCAAAAAGGTCATGGGTTCGATTCCTGGTCAGGGCACATACCCAGGTTGCGGATTCAGTGAGAAGGCAACCAATCAATATTTCTTTCCCTCTTTCTCTCTCCCTCCCTCTCTCTCTCTCTCTCTCTCTCTCTCTCCCATCTCTCCCTCCCTCCCTCGCCCTCTCTCTCTAAAAAGTGAGGATTTAAAAAATGTTTTGGCATTGAGCTAAGCTCCTTTTGCACATGCCCCAGGAAACACTCTAAAGAAAACGCTTGGTAAGTATTTCTGAAGCCCCATTTCTTCTCCCCTAATAACAACAGCAGCCGCATCAAGCAATGAAATTGTGCCTTAGATTTTACATAGCAGCCCTTTTTCTATCTTGTTTGATCCTCTCAACTGCCCACTGGAGCAGGAAGTGTTAGCCCCTTTCTCCAGATAAGAAAATGAGGAGTCACGTACTTTCAGTGAATTGCCCGAGTGTATGCAGCTACTAAGTGGCAGAGTACAAAGTTGAACCCAGGTCTTCCCATTCCAAACCCCAGCCTGTCTCCACAAAGGCAGGCTTGCCTCATAAGCTCAGGCTGCCAAAGAAGCATGAGCAAGAAAGAGGGCCCTTTGGTTGTCCACGATACAAACGGAGTAGATGCTACAGAATTTAGGATTCAGAAAAGGCGATACGACTCCCAGCCCCGTCAGGGTTCAGGCCCCAGGAGCCTGTCCCTCCAACAAAAGTCCCATCGGCTAGTTGTACTCTGAAGGCCGTCGCTGAAACACCCAAATTCTCACAGCGCAGGACAGGAACCCGGGGCCATGGAGACAGTAGGCTTGGCTCTGCCACCTACCACTTACGAGTCTTTGGTAACTTCCGAGCCTCAGTTTTCTCTCAGATGAAATGGGAACATGACAGCACCCACCTCTTACTATTTCTGAAACGAGCAAATGAGGGAATGCGTGGAAGCCTTCTTAGCACAGTGCCTGCCACATGTACTGTTACCTGTTCATTACAATATTACCAAGCAACAGCATGATGTTAGAAGGGAAATGCACCAAAAATTGCCTCTTGCACTGCACTCAAAATAATTCCCTTGGCTGAGCAGTGAATGAACTAAGAAGTAATTGCTGATGATGGGCTGGCTAAACCCAGGCCTGCAGTCACTCTGCAGCTCTGCCTAGGCCTCAACCCCGAGGAAAAATTACTTTTAGGAGCTAAATAACCTCTTTGCTGACCAAAATTACTCACTCAGGAGCCAGGATTCATTCTCCCTGCTAAGGAAAGCTTGGGTATTCCGCGGTTATCTTTATCGTGGGGCTGAACTTGAAGTCAGCTCAAAGTCACAGTCTAACCATAAACCAATTTGCTCTGTTTTCTTAAACTGTCTGCAAACAAAACATAAAATTTGGTTTTTCCGTTGTTGTTCTGAAGCAAAACAAAAATATTTAGAGTCACCCGTATGAGCATTTAACGAGCAGTATAAAGAGGAGTTAAAATACTTTCCGTACTCTGGATGGAGCAGGTAGGCAAGCAGGCTCAAGGACCAGCTATAGCAGATAGGACATGCAAACAGTTATTGCTCCCCAGTAAACAAGAAAGCAAAGAAAATGCAAAACCACAGCCCGATAAGACCAACCCAACAGCTGTCAGTCACCAGCTTTTTTTATTTCCTTTTTAAAGCAGCCCACTATCCAGCCAACATCATAAAGAATATGTCAGGACTACATTTCTCAAGAGAAGGAGGCAAGGGGCGGGGTGGGGGGGGGACGCTTTGTCACACTGACTACAACATACACAGAAACCAAAAATAGTGTGCAAAAACACTGCAAGGATGGGCAGGGTCAGACACTGCAACCAGCCAAATCCCCGAGCTGGAATCATCTCCGACCGGCCTTCCTGTCTTGGAGATGAGATGCCAGAGTCGAAAATTGCTTTTCCGGCCCTACGAAGCACGGAGACCTCGGGCATCCCACCCTCCCAGCCTCCACACCCGTCCTCATTCCTGCTCCAACAGAGCTCCGTCTTTCCCACAACTTGTCCCTTTCCTTAACCTGCCACAGGTGGGATTCCTTTTTAAAACACACACACACACACTATCCAAGCCATACAGAGCCAGCCCCTGTGTTAGGGAGGCGGTCAGATAGATACGTGCACCCACATTTCCTAAATTCGCCAGCTTCAGAAATCTTCCACGCGACGTCTAACTTCAAATACGACTTGCTGCTGAGAGACTGTTTACACCCACAGTTCCAGGAATACCCGCGACGAGGCAGGACGGCACCGGCAGCTGAAAGTAGGAGCACGGTGGAGACACAGCACACGCACAGAAAGTGGCGTGAATGCGCCAGGCACACAGGCAGGTGACACAGGTGCCGGTCTCCGCATGGCTGCCGTCTTGCCGGGTGACCTCGGCCAGGTCACCGTCTGCTCTGGGCCTCAGAGTCCTCGTCTACAAGAAATGAGGGGCTGGAGGCACCTTGAAGGACTGGTCCAGATCAAGAAGTCACTGACTCCCTGACACATGCAGTATCCAAATGAACTGCCAAATGTGGATTCGAAGATCCTTCTTCAGACAGCCTTTTAGAGTTCCTATTTTATAATGTATCAAAAAAAAAAAATAAAAAACAACGAGAAATAGAGTCCTCTCGCGTTTCTGCAGAATAAATTAGAGCGGCAGGAAATATCTGAATAGGGGACAAATGTGGAGTGGCCGGCAATATGCTACTGAAATTCAAGAAAGGATTGGGCAAGATATAAATGTAAACTGAAGAAATGTTTCGCTGATTTCAAAGCACCGCTAACAACCACCACGACGGAAGCAAAAACCAAAAAAAAAAAAAATTAACAATGTAATATAATAAAATATACATGTATCAAATTAAACTAAAAATAAGTGAAGATCAAGTATGTCTTTAGTAAAAATTGTGGTGCAAGAGCTCTTCAATTGTGAGGTTTTTATCCTTTTTTTTTTTTTTTTAATCTCATAGACTGTTCTCCAGAGCTTCCTTGCGGGAACAGGGAGGAAGCCCTCACACACACACACACACACACACACACACACACTACACCTTCGTGATCATCCCCCCTGGACACCCTTTACTCTCTACACAGCTCCTGCGGACGCTGGCCAGGGGAAGCCCCAGTCCCCAGGGCGGGCGGCAGCACACCCACCCTACAAACGCCGTTACCTGAGCACTCGGGGGACTGCAGAGCCAGCCCAGCCCTGGGGCTTCCTCCGACACCTGACCCCGCGTTCTCTGCAGGAGGTCGCCCTGCCTCCCGGGCCCTCCGAGGAGCCTGCCTGTTCGGAGCCTGCTGAGGACCAGGGCGAGGGGACAGTGGCCCCCGGAGGTCCTCCGCCACCGCCCGCCTGCTGGGCTCCAGTGCTCCCCAGGGCTGATGTGCGTGAAAAGTTCTCCCTGAAACCGAGTTCCATCCCCAGTAATAACTGACTCGCCAGGTTTCAAACGTCATCCGCCCTTTAGGGCGCCTGTGTGTGTGAAACAAGCAGGATTTTCATGAATAAAACGCACAGCAGGGTGTCATCAGTGGAGCCCTTTTCCACTGCGGGTTCGAGCCCCGAGCGGGCTCCTAGAAGGCTGAGCGGAACCGCGGGGCAGGGCTGGGCGCCCCGCTCTTTCACTTCTCTCCCTCCAGGCCCCTCTGCGCGGTGGGCAGCCTCCCAGCTGCCCTGCCTCCCCCCGGGGGGCGGGCAGCACTAAGGGGAGACGCAGCTCTCAGAAATCTCGGTCACCGAAACGCCGGGCGCAGCATTATCTGAAAAGCGAAGCCAGAACACAGGGCCGAGGGGGGCGAGCGGGCGCCCACCGAGCACCAAGTAAACCCCCAGGGAAGCGACCGGCTTCCCGGGGGAGAGGACCGTCCGCGGGAGGGACCCCTGCGTGCAGCCCCTCGCCTCGGGGTGGCAACTTTCCCCAGAAGCGGTGCCCTCGGCCCGGAGGCCCGGCGCCTCGCCCCCTGCCCGGCGACCCGGCCCCCGGCCGCCGCCGCTGCCCCTCGGCCCAGCCCCTCGGGCCCTACAGGCCGGGTCGGCCCCTCGCCGCGCCGGGCGCCCTCATCACACACGCCCCCTCCGGTCGCCTCCGGCTGGCGAGCCGGGTCGGCAGACTGAACCGGCTGCGGGAAGGGCGGGCCAGAGACGGCCTGGAGTCGCGGAGGCGCCCGAAGGAGGCTCCAAACACCCCGGGGACCCCGGGACCCGCCGCCCGCCCTCTGGTGCCGGGCAGCCCGGTAACCCGCTGGGTCACCGGCCTGCCAGGGCGGCCGGTTCCCGCGAGCTCTCCAGGAGGGCTTCCCTAGGACCCAGGCCCTCACCTCCCCCAACCCTGCAGGCGGGCACCGCGGGCAGGTGCCGGGGATGCCAGTCCCGCCCCGCCCTGCCCCCCCGTCCGGGCCCCAGGCCGCTCACCTGGCCCAGGCGACACAGCAGCAGCAGCGGCGGCAGCGCCCAGCGCAGCCGGAACGAACGCCGAGGTGGCCGCGCCTCCCGCGCCGCCGGCTTCATGCCCCGCGCGCTCTGGAACGTGTCCGGGCCGCGCGAGTCGGGCCCCGCCGTGCGCCCGAGCCCGGGCGCCCTGCTCGCCGCCTCCAGCCACCGCCTCCGCCTCCGCCTCCTCCAGCCGGTCCGCCTAGTCCCCGCTCCGCCCGCCCCGGGCTTCCCCGGGGACATGGCAGCAGCGGCGGCCCCACGGCTGGGCCCGGCGCGGCGGTCGCGGAGGGGACCCGTCCCTGGGCGCGCAGGAGCTTCGCGGGGCGGAGCAAGCGGCGCCCACCCCTCGTGCGCGGCAACGGGATCCCGGCTCCCGCGGCTCCGGCGGCTCCCGCTGCCTCCTCTGCGCGTCATGCGGCTCCGGCTGCAGGGAGCCGCGGCGAGCGCTCCCGCCCTTTGCTCCCCTCCCCCTCTGAATATTCATCGCTTCCTCCCGCCCGGCCGGCCCGGCGGCGGCCGAGCCCCGCGGCCCCTCGCCGCCCTCCGCGGCAGCCCCCGCCCCCGCCCGGCCGGCCGGGAGGTGGGGAGGGGGCAGCGGCGCGCCCCGCGCGCGCCTCGGCGACTCCCCTCCCGCGGGCAGAGGAAGCGCCCCCGCCTCGCCTCCTTCTCCTCCGGGCCCTCCCACATTCCTGGAACTGGGGACCCGGGACGCGGCTCCGCCGCTCGGCGCCGCGAGCCCGCACTCCTCGGTACGGGCGTCCCAGCCTCGGTCCCTCTCCCGGGCCCCGGGTTTGGGTCACCATATGCTGACCGATATCCCTACCGAGGGCTCAAGCCAGGCCTGCGTTTAGGGAGCAACCCGGTGAAGGCCTGGTTGAGGTGGGCTTGGGGTTCTTGAACCCCTGAACTGCAGGACACAGTGCTGTGCGCTGCGTCCTCCGCGCCCCGCTCCCCCGCCCGGGAGGCGGAGAGCCGGCATTGCGGCGGGGCCTGTGATTGCGACCCCGGCTCTTCTGGCATGTGCACCTCTGGCTCTGCTGGTGCTGCTTAGCTGTGTGGCCTGGGGACGGGCACTTCACCCCTCTGGGCCTTCTTCCCTCATCGGTGAGATAAACCTGGGAACACTAGTATCCGGCTAGAGAGACGTGATTGGTGATTACGGGAGGCAGTGAAGGGGAACGTCCTAAACACGGGCAGCTTTCAGCACGTTCTCGAAGGAGCCCAGGACTCCAACGGGCTTAAAGATTGCTGCAGAGGCTGCTGCTGCGCCCGCGCCCAGGGAGAAAACTGAGGACCTGGGAGGCGAAGCCAGTTGCCCAAGAAAGGTAATGAGAGAGAGGGCCAAACCAAGGAGTGCAGAGAGGGAGAGACGAATTCCAACCAGGGAAAGAGGCGACACCTGAGCTGGGCTTTGAAGGCTGGGTTGGATTTCACCGAGCAGATAGAGGGGGGCAACGTCTCAGGAAGTGGGAGCAACTTGGCAAAGCAGCCGAAGGTGGATGATTCAGGCGCGGCCTTCTGAGGAGCAGGGAACAGGAGGGTGGGGGTTCGCGTTTGGGGGAGATTCTGAAAGCTGGAATAACTAGTCTGGGGGCAGGTTCTCTGTACAGAGGGTGCAAACCGCCAGGTGATTAACCCTGCCTCCAGGTACCCCTTGCACCTCAGGGGCCGCGTCTGTGCGAGGGGAAGACACCTGCACTGGAAGGGGGTCCAAACAGCTCTCTCCAGACAGGCAGAGAAGGTCAGAGGACCCACCTGTGGACTGCCACCTTGCCACCTTTTGTTTAAACATGATGTAATCGTCATTCACGAGGAAGCCTCCTCCCCTTCTTGGGCACACAGGGGGTTTGAAAGGCGATGGTGTTCCTGATGCCCAGGAGGAAGAAAACCTGCCAGGCCTGTGGGCTGCCCCAGCCTCCCCGATACTCACAGGCCGCACAGACCCCGGGGACCCACCCAGCCTCCAGGGCCTCGTGGCGAACAGCTCTGGGAACTCCCGCGTGCCCTCTGGTTTTCTCCTGGATGAAATGGATGCCCGCACGGAAGTGTCGGTGCGAACGGGATTTCCCCACCACGTGGTGACGAAGGAAAACACACAGCCTTTTCAGCAAAAGGAGCTAAGACCTGAATGGCACGCTACCTGTTCGGTCATAAACTGACTACACTGGATTAACGACCCGGAGGAGAACAGAAGTGAATCCTGCGGAGAGGCAGCGTCACCTCCCCGAGGGCAGGGACTGGGCTCTTCTCTCCCTGGGCACCCTGCCACACCGCACTCTGCGCCTCGCCCCTAGCGGGAACTCAAAGCCTGAGTTCGCTGCGTGCTTGTATAAGTGCATCCAGGGGAACCGTGATGTGAAAGTTCACTTCTTTCAAGGATAAATTAGAGAAGTGTCGTTCACTTTGCAAAGAGAGAGGGAGAGAGAAAGACTTGATTCCAATTGATAGGTCTCACCCTCAGATATTATGTGTCCCCGGAACTTCCTAGATTCCCCAGCCCCAAGTTGGGTGCCTATCCCCCACCACCACGGTCTCCTAGCTCCCCCTGCGTGAACCTTACCTAACCACGAATTGCCTATGTGACCTTCTTCCTCACAGGACTCTAAGGGAGCCCCTTGAATGCGTGGGCTGCATATTTTCATTGCATGCCCAGCACAAAAGTCACCCAAACAATATTATTTAGTTGAATGACATGCATTCTTTTGAATTGCAAGCTAAGGTATTAAATACACGCCTGTTCTTTCCATCCCCTCAACTCCCCCTCTATTTCTCTCTCTCTCTCTCTCTCTCACACACACACACACACACACACACTTCCATTTGCAAACAGCTTTTCAGGGATAAATCTACTGTGCAAAGTTCAGGGCACCTTCTCTGAGAATATAATGTACCATGACATTTGACCTTTTAATCATGTCCCCCTTCAAGCAAAAGCTACAGCTTTGCGGAATAGGAGGCCAGGTTCATAGGAAATAAAAGAGCCAAACCAAGAGGCTGGAGTGGAGGGCTCCTGCATGTGTCCCAGAAGTGCCTGACAGGAGTCACCCAGTGGCTTGTTAGATTCCCATTGTTACCTATAGACTATGGAGGACGGGGCCTGGGAATATGTATTTTTACCTATTTCTATCCACCACCTTGGGTCGGGCATTCTTGCTGTCAAGCAGGACTGGAAAACACTGTTCATTCTATCGTTGGCCTACACTGTGTCTCCAGTAGAAATAAAGACTGTTGATCCAGTACCTACTAAGTGCCAGGCACTACTCTAGGTACTTTACATGGTTTCTCTTCTTACAACAACCCTGTAGAATAGGTATCACTATCCGTGTTTGACAAAGAAACTGAGTCTCATGGAGATTTAGTGACTTGCACAGGGTCCCACGGCTTCAGAGTGTCAGAACCAGGATGAAACCGTGTCTTGCTTGCCATTACGCCATGGTGTCCCTCCCCTCGATATTTGTAGATAAGCTAATACAAAGTGCTCTGTGTGCTGGCTGTTATTACTACTCTCCTGAGCCTCAGTTTTCCCAATTTTAAAATGGGGAGGGACAGAGAATACAAGACTTCCCACTGCATCCCCCAAGAACTGGGAACAGGCAGACAGCCATGGTTAATGGCACGTCCACTATCCCACCAGGAGAGAGGCATGCTGGGCACCAGCCTGGAACCAGGGCAGCAGCCCCGCAGGGAGTCCATTCAGCCTGGCAACCCTCCGTTTATTTTAAAAGCCACTGTGAGCAAACCATTCCCCAAAGCCCTCCTAAGCGGAATGGAATGCTTCTTGGGAGTCTGATTAGCTAATGTCACAGGCATGGCTGCCCTGAGACCTTCCTGCCTCCCAGACTTGAACTGAATCAGAATGGAAAGGAAGATTTTGAAAGGTCTTTATAAAAAAAAAAAAAAGGAGCACTTCATCTTTATAATAGTAACAGGATGTTTCCTGTGGACTAATAACTGCACTGTGGTTAGAACTCCATGCTCATCCACCAGACCTCAGCTCCTCCCGGAACAGAGCCCAAATCACCTGCCTGCACAGAGCCAGGGAGTGCCTTGGCAGTGCCTTTCCTGTTTCCTCAAGCACTTGCAACATTGAGCATTTTCCTAATTTGTGTGTGTCAAGATAGAAAACAAAGTTGCACTTGCAAAGAAACAGTCGCATGTAACAGATGTTCAGTGAAGGAATGGAAGTCTACTCTAGCCGACTCTGGGTCTGCAGAACAGAAAGAGAGCCATTGTCCTCAAGAGACCCTCGCACTGCACCGTTCCCCAAGTGTTAGACGCCCACTTGGGGATGAGCCCACGGGCCTCCGCACTCACGGCTGTGAAGCTCCCAGTAAGCCCAGAACCTCCATGTTCTGGCAAGACAGACCCAGAACCCATGGTCTCAGAGCACCTGGAAACACAGGGAGTGTGTGACAAGGAGACCTGGGGACAGGGGGCTGTTGTCCGGGGCTTGAGAACAACTTCTGCACAGAGACCAGAAGGGGCGGGCAGGGGGCAGGAGGCAGGCGATGAAGCCTGCAGCAGAACCGCCACCTCAAACAAAGACAGGGCTGAGGGGCGTAAAGACAAGCGGGAGAGTGAGCAGGAGGCCCAGAGTCCCAGGGCTTCTCGGTGGCTGGGCCCTTCCGGGCTTGTTGAAAATAAACTAATTTTGTTTGGGTTTGAAAAGAATTCTGTTTTTTTTTTTCAGGTTAAAAAAATGTCTTAATCACATTGCACTGGATCCATAGAACACCTGGGTAAGGGTTAGGAGAAGAAATGGCCTTATAACAATTGTGTCACGGAATCTTGTCAGTGCAGAAGAAAATGCCCCGCAATCTAAATAAGCAAACCAAAATATCATGTATGGCAATAGTTGCTTTATGATATATAAGTGGTATATGAACACATATAAACATATATGCATATGTCATATTCAGCTGATTTGTGTGTGAGCTATGCTCATAGTAATAAACCATAATGGGCATGAGTGTGGACTCTGGAGTCAGCTGCTTGGGTTCAAATCCTAGTTCTTCCATTTATTAGCTGTGTGACCCTGAACCAGTTACTTAAGTTCTCTGTGCCCCAATATCCTTATCTACAAATGAGGACATTCTTAGGATGGTTATAAGTACTTTAAAAATAGTTCAAGCACTGATAATTCTTCCTGGAATAAAGCAAATAGCATGTATTAGAAGATATTATTAAAATATGTTTTTGGCAGATGTGAGGTGGGGTGGTATAAGGTGGAGAATATGTGCTTGGACCAGATGGTCATAGGTTCAAACCCTGTCAACTTGCTGCCCGGTTTTGGCCTCCGTTTCCTCACATAAGGAATGGGATGATAATTCATTTCTGTGGAGGGGACAGGAAATGACACGTGTCAAGTGCCTGGCACCCATTCCAGGAGCCCCAAGGGTAGAGGCATAGTGACTGGCAGAAAGAGAAGGGGATGGGGAGTCAGGGCCCCAAGACTTTATTACCAGCTGTCATTGCAGAGATAAGTCACTCTTCTTGGGCCCAGTTTCTTCCTCTGTAAAGTAGGGGTTAGACCGGTGCATGGGTCAGCACAGGCTGGGTTATGCCGCAGTGACAAACAGCTCCCCAGATCTCGATGTTGGAAAAGAACGAACAGGAACGCCTTGTTCTCACTCCATGTGCCCACAGATCAGCTGAGGGCTGGGCTTCACATCACCCCCCACCCCCTCAGGAGCCATCTGCTGGAGCAGACACTGTCTGGAACCTTGCCAATTGCTCTGACAAAGGGGAAAGGGGCTTTGGAAGGTCTTGAACTGGAAATTAAATACTCTGTCCTAGAAGTGACGCTAATCTCTCTCACTCACAGGTCATCAGCCAGAAGCAGTCGTGTGGCCCCACCCAACAACAAGGGGGCAGGAAGGCCCATCCCACCACGCGCCCAGAATGCAGAACTTGAATTGTCAGGTGAACTGCACTCACGACCAGCCTAGTCATGGAGCCTCTAAAATCCTGTCTTTAGAAGTGTGCTCCCCTGACCAGGAGCACACAGACGTCCCCTGAAGGCATGTTAGAAATGCAGAGTTTCTGGCCCCACCCCAGACCTGCTGTGACAGTTAACTTCATGTGTCACCTTGGGCGGGCCACAGGATGCCCTGCTGTCTGGTGAAACACGCCTCCTGGGTGTATGTGTGAGGGTGCTTCTGGAAGAGAGTCGTGGTTGAAGTGGGGAACTGAGTAAAGCAGATGCCCCTCCACGAGGTGGGTGGGCCTCCTCCAATCTGTCCAGGGCCCGCATGGAACCGAATGGCAGAGGACGGCCGTGTCCTGTCTCTGCCTGACTGTGCCAGCCGGAGCATCCACCCTCCTGCCCTGGGCTCCTCTTCTCAGGCCCTCAGTCTCAGGCTGGAATCCACACCACCAGCCCTCTGGTGTCCGGCTCTGAACTCCACCACGAGCTCTCCCGGGTTTCCAGCTGGAACACTGCAGATGGTGAGGCTTCTCAACCTCCATCAGCACAGGAGCCAATGCCTTGTTTTATTTCTATATAAAATACATGCGATATATCTTTTGTATAACATATGTCTCCTATGTTACCTATAATATTGAATACATGTATCTCCTAGATTACATATAATACATATGATATGTCTCCTATATTACATATAATATTTAATGCATGCGATAGAGCTCCTATATTATATAATACATATGGTGTATCTCCTACATTACATATTATATTAAATACATAATATATATCTCCTATATTATATATTATATGTGTGTGTGTATCCTATCAGTTCCATTTTTCTGCAGAACCCTGCTTAGTTCACCTACTACATCAGAACCCGCACTTTACGAAGTCCCCGGTAGACTGCGGCGGACACTCAAGTCTGGGACCTGCTAGCCTGTGTCTGTCGGGCAGCCGGGCAGCGAACTGCCTAAGAGCCTGGCTCTCAACCCCTAACAGTGGATTCGGTTCCCACGCTCACTCCGGAGCCACCCGCGGAGACTCCTATCAGAGTTCTATTTCTAATTGGAATCAGAGCCCAGGAATCTGCACTGAGCAGCACACAGGTGCAGTCAGCTTCCTCCCACCGGGCTCTGGGAAAATCCTCTCATGCTCATTCTGAGTCTGTGAGCCTTTTTTTTTTTTCTATAAAGCAGAAGGAATTCTAGAAGGCCTAGACCAAACCTTGAGAGTTTCCCTTCACTTACTTGAAAACTCTACTCCAAAAGAGAGAGAAGGTAAAAACCTAAACGGTAACGCCCACTGCTATTATTGGCAGCTCTGCCCCAGGCTCGCTGCAAGCCGCATCACACACTGGATCTGCTTTCGCCCTGACCACCACCCTGTACCCGAGTCTCTGCCATGGTCCGCACTTGATTGTTAAAGAAACTACAAAACCGACAGTTTAAGGAACTTGCTCAAAGACACACCGGAGGCAGAAGCAGGAGGCAGACACAGATCTTGGGTTAACCACTACGTGGCGGCTTCCCTGGGGCTGGCACCTGGCCCAAGGAGGTCCCTCCGCAGGATTCATTCCCCACCCTGAGCGTCTCCCCTGTGGTTCTGCAGCTGGGTGACACAGGAAGGCAAGGCAGGCAAGGAAGAGAAGATGTCCCTCATTCTGGGCCTCCACCCTCCTCAGCTGACTTCGGTTAATTTCTGGGCTGTAAAGAAATATCAGTGTGCTTGATTTCGCCAAAGCCTAGAAGTTTGCAGTCACCAAAGACATGCACACATGAAGCATTTTTGCCTTGAGCCTCTGGGCCCTGGGAAGGCAGGCCGGGCTGGGCCGGGCCGGGCTGGGCCAGGCTGATCCCGGGCCTGTTTCTGACCTGGCCATCATCCTAAGCAGTGAAATCGAACAGAGAGGAGTTCGCAGACCGGCTGTGACCCTGGCACAGGGAAGGCGACAGCAGGTGTCCTCAAGGTCTTGGCTTTTCTGGCAAAGCTACATTTTCCTTATCCTGATCCCTGCTGACACAGTGACACCCCGGAGACTCATGGTGCCCAGAGCACGACGTTCGCAGTGCAGAACCATCGACCGAAACAGGGCCGAGCCGTGAAGGGATCCCGCCAGGCTCCCTGACTCAACCTGGCACTTGTTACCTGGGAGGATCCCTGGCTCCAGGCCCCTGGCCTTCAGCACCAACCTGAGGCAGGTGTGTTCTCTGCGCACTTGGCCCACAGCAGGTGTTAGTCAGACGACTTGACCTTCCACTCCGTGAGCTCAAAGGGAGCTTAGAGGTCATGCATTCAACCCCTGACAAATAAACGAAGGCCCAGAGAAAGACAATGACCATCTAAAGCCCTTGAGACGTGTATGGGAAAAGTCAAATGCAGACTGGGGTAGGAGGTGGATAGTAGGAGGTCTGTCTGGAAAAAGTCCAGCGATTGCTAATGTATCAAGAACAGTTGGCACAATATTGATGTGGCCTGGCAGCCAAGGAGAGTGGACTGGGATGCGCATGCATGAACAATAACCACTTCACTGTACTAGTCAGTGGGGGCCGTAGATGCTGTTGAGTGAGCGTGTGTACTGTGTGGTCGTCACATTCAAAATGACTGAGTGAGTAGAGCAATGAATCTGTGTCAAATTTTGCATGAAGCTTGAACAATCCTCTGTGAAAATTGTTCAGATGATCCAGAAGGTCACAGCTATAGGTAACCAGTGATTGGCAGCCTCATCACAACGTTTGCCCACTCATGCATCAGGTCTCGTGCAGAGTTTTTTGGTAAAACATCAAATCACCCAGGCAACTCAGCCCCATTATAGCACAAATTTGCTGCCCTGAAACTTCTGACTTTTCCCAAAACTAAAATTGCCTTTGAAAGGGAAGAGATTTCAGGTCTTCAATAAGATTCAGGAAAATATGACAGAGCAGCTGATGGCAACTAGGAGAACTGTGTGAGGTCCCAAAGGGCCTATTTTGAAGGGGACTGAGGTGTCATTGTCCTGTGTACAATGTTTCTTGTATCTTCTTCAATAAATGTCTCTGTTTTTCATATTACATGGCTGGATTCCCTCTGGACAGAGTGTGTGTGTGTGTGTGTGTGTGTTCACACATACATACAGTGTTCAACCACTTCCAAGTTTACAAAGTTCTTTCCCTTGCAGTCAGGAAAAATACTCAAAATAGTTTACCCTGTCAGGCACAGGTTCTGATGAATCAGGACAGACACCAGCCTATAGCCCTGCAAACATGAATACCCTTGACCCTCTCAATGACCTTGGGGTGTGAGCCCTGTAGTATTTATTCCCACCTCGCAGATGGGGAGATGGAGGCTCTGAAAGATTGACATGTAGCTAATATTTGTGTTTGCTTGTTTGCAGGTTACAGAGATGGTTTAAGCAAAAGGAGAGCTCTCTGAGGAGACCGCTGGGGCATCTGGCAGACCCTCAAGCAGGAACACGCAGGGCCTCCCCCAGGCCTGGCTGCAAGAACTGGAAAGCCACCAAGAGCCTAGGCCAGCTGTCTCTGCACATCAGCCTCCCGCTTCTCCCCAGCAGGCCGCCCTCCTCTGCATCTCTGCAAGTTTCCCAGTCTCCTCGCCTCTTTCACGTTCTGACAGTGTGACTCCTAGTCCATTTCAAATCCCAGTCCTAGAGGATTCTGATTGGCCCAGCTTTGATCCCATGCCCACCCCTGCTCCAATCCTCTTACTTATTACTGACATTTAACTGTTCTTATTCATTTGTGTCACCTGTTTACTTGTTGCTGTTTTTGTTGTTGATAGGTTTTGGAGTATACACATCATGACATTTCACCCCTAAATACACATCTCTAAAATGTAAAGGCATCATTCTACTTAGTCACAACACCATTATCATACTCGACAAAAGTAAGAATTTCTTAATGTAACCAAACACTCTGTCCACACCCAAATGCATACAATGGTTCTCCAAATATTTTTCAATGCTGGTTTTTCAAAGCAGGATTCAGTCAGCATCTACACATCGTGTTTGGTCATCTTGACCTTGACGTCTCCTTCTCATTCCTACACCCACACCTCCTTCTCAACTGCTTTAACCTCTGTATCTATAGCTGCATCTCCATGGCCAATACAGCTGCTCTCGTCACGAACGCAGAAGAGAATGTCTCCTCACCAGACCCGGCCGAAAGAAACCCAGGCTATTTGTGGGTGAAACGCTGTAGCCTGGTCCCCTCCACTCACTGGTAAGAGGTGACTGACTATGCATGAAACCTCTGGCCTTGGAAGAAAAACAGAGGGCACCTCTATGTGAGTCAGCCTGTACAACAAGGACTACAGTCTGTCTGTCTGTCTCTCTCTCTCTCCCCACCCTCACCTTCCTTGTAAAATTCAAAGAGGCAAGTTGGTGTGAAAGGAAGGACACACAGGCAGACACCGCCTCAATCCCTGCTCCATGACTGTGGAGCAGTGTGGCCTCGGGCAGGTCATCCACCTCTCTGAGCCTCAGTTCCCGCCCCTGTGACGTGACGACGGGCCGTTTGCAGGGCTGCTGCGAGGAAGGAGTGAGCGCACCTGCACGGCCTGCCCACCGCCAGCCTTTGTGAAGCTTGGGGCGGAAGTTCCTACCTGGTTACCAAGTTCAATCTTGCTCTGTCCTATAGACATGCTAGAGGACATCTCCCAGCCTCCCTTGCTGTTAGATGTGGCCGTGTGATCAAGTTCTGACTATGGAATCTGAGAAAAGTGTGCTGTGTGAGCCACCTCCAGGTTCAGCCCCTAACACCTTCCGCGCCTCTGGGCCGGGGGACAACCCTTGAAGCGGCCTCATGACACCGGCAAAGATCCCCGTGTATCTGGTCCCCGGATGACCACGTGGGGCAAAGTTCTCGCTACCAATGAGGAACACCTGATCTGGACTTTCCGCGAGCAAGACACAAAGCTTTCTGGTGATAACCGTCGTGGTTTTGGGGTTTGTCCTCTGCAGCGGCTCACATTGCTTCAGCCAACACAGAGCTCGACGTTAAAGGTGAAGTCACTTCTTAGAAGGAAAACCTGAACAGGACTGACTAAAACCACAGTGGCTTTTGGAAAACCAAATAAGGAACCATACAACCATTAAAGGAAACCCTCACATTTTAATAGTGTCTTTTATCAAACGTCTGAGTGTTTTGATATTTTCTCCGCCTCTGAAACAATGCCGGGTGTGGCTGCCATCTGACATTGCTGACAGCCAGGGGACAGCCGTGCGGTCGGTGCCACGGACACGGACGGTGCACGCACAACGTGGTTGCAGCTCTCCATCTGTCGTCCTTCCGGCCCCCAAAGGTCAGGCATTGTTAGCACCGCAGGTGTTGGGTTTAATCAGCACGTGCTGTGTCTTCAAAGGGACTCCGTGCTGATTGGGTGCAGAGATGAACAGTCGTGTGTTGAAAAGGCAGGGAAGCGGAGAGGCTTGAGGTAGGTAAGAGTCTGTGTCTAAATAAGACCGAACAGAGCTCTTTCGATAGCCATTGAATGAGAGAATTCTAAGTGATAGGAAAGCTTCGCATCATAGTTTCCTAGTTTTCAGACATGCATTGGTGATGGTGTGGGGTACGATGGATGGGTACCTTTGATTTGGTGAGATTATCAACATGTCGATATGTCCGTGATTTTTAGCCAAGGAAGAAAGCCGGTGTAAATAGTAATAATAATAATGATGATAACAATAACACTTGCACTTCCTAAGAGCCAAACAAGTGCCGAGTTGTGTACGTTAGTTGCATTACCTCACCGAATCATTGTAACAACCCTGCAAAGTGGTTACTCTTTTATAAATGACTGCAAATTGTCCTGCACGCCATCGGGAAAGGGAGTGGGGTGCTATGAGACTGAGTAACAGGGAGGAACGTGACTCCCATCGGAAAGGGGACTTTCCCAGGACGCAAGAAGACCTGAAAGAGAAGAGGCGGCCGTGTTCAGTGAGCACTTACCAGGTAGCAGGTTTGATTCTCGTTATGTGTCAACTCCATTCTCGTAAGAGCCCTAAGAACACTATTCTCAGTTCCACTTATAGATGAGGACCTCAAGACAGGGATAAAGGACTTGCTCCTAATAATCCGAGTCACGCAGCTAATGAGTGATAAAACCTGGGATGTGAAGCATGGCCCTCTGGGCACGGAGCCCGTGCCTCTTCCCCTTCACTCTCCTTCCCCCTTCGCTCTAGTCTCGGAGTCGCAGGATTCCGAGACTAGAACGGGGAGGCCTCTCCACCTTACCCATAAGGCAGCAGGAAGTGAAATGCTACAAGCACAGGCTCTGGGGCCAGACATCCCAAGTTCAAAACCAGGCTCTGCAACTGACCAGCAAGGTACTTGGCTCTTCATCTGCTGTATTAAATGAGTTAATACACATGTAGAGCTTGTATCAGAACCAGAATAGATAAGCCCTCAAACAGTATTACATAGTATTACTATCTTCATACAATGCCCACAAGAACTCCGAGGAAACAGCGACTCAGAGGTTTGGCAGCTTGTCTGAACCCACTCATTGAAAGAAAGGAATAAGCATGCAAACCTAAGTCTATTCACCCAGAAGCCCTTGCTTTTACTCCACAGAGCTGCCAATCAAGGATGAACCCAGGGGTTAGGTTTGCATCCCTGCAGGATTCCGAGACAGGAGATTGCAAACCCAATGTGACACCCCACTTCAGCTTCAAATTCCCACCCAACAGCAAGGCTCTATCATTGCCAATCTGGATTTTGTGTGTTTTATTTTAATGTCTTAATCCTCACTTGATTATGTTTATTGATTTGAGAGAGAGAGAGATTGACATGAGAGAGAAAGGAGAAACATCGATTGGTTGCCTCCCATAGGCACCTCGACTGGGATCAAGCCGGCAACCTAAGTACGTGCCCTGATGTGAATAGAACCCTCAACCTTTTGGTGTACAGGATGATACGCCAGCCAACGGAGCCGCACCAGCCAGGGCTCATCTGTTTTATTTTAAAGGCATTCCTCTTGGAGAAGCTGGAGGGAAGACGGAGACTCAACAGTCAGTTCCTTTCTCTTACATTTTTCATATGCTGTACGTCACCTTTCCTCACCTACAGAGAGGAGGCAGGGGCCATCTCAGAGTCACAAAGCAGGTATCCAACAGAAAGGTGTTGTGTGGAGAACGTATTGGAGGTTGCCAGAGGCAAAAAGTCAGGGGTAAAGTGGGTGAAGGGGGGGTCAAAAGGTACAAACTTCCAGTTATAAAATGCAATAACTTAGCGCAGGCTGTGAACCAAAGAGTCGCAGATTCGATTCCCAGTCAGGGTACATGCCTGGGTTGCAGGCCATGACCCCCAGCAACCGCACATTGATGTTTCTCTCTCTCTTTCTCTCTCTATCTCCCTCCCTTCCCTCTCTAAAAATAAATAAATAAAATCTTTTAAAAAATGCAATAATTCATGGGATGTAATACACAGCATGGTGATTATAGCTAATAATGCCGTATTGGATGTTTGAAAGTTGCTATGAGCATAAATCTTAAAAATTCTCACCAGAAAAAAAATTGTAACTATGTGTAGTGATGAATTTTAAGACTTATTGCGGTGATCATTTTGCAACATACACAAATACCAAATCATGTTGTATATTGAAACTAATATCATGTTAGAGATCAATTATATCTCAATTGATAATTTTAAGAGTCATTAAAGCCGTGTGTTGGATGAACCAGTATACGAGAGAATGAGTGCGTATCCTCTAAGGCCTCTCCCAGATCAGACGGACCCCACCCCCCCCACCCCCACCCATCCTACTTGCTTTTCTCTGACTCACATTTCTTAACCCCAGTGTTTCTCAAATAAGGGTGTTGCGAGGGGCTTCTGAGGACACTGTGACACTGAAGTGGTCTTGGTGTGTGATGACACCCTGGGTTTCTTCATTCCCCATTCCCTTGGGCAAGTGTTTGAGCAACAGGGTAGAGATGGAGGGGAGTGTGTGTGCTGGGGAGGGGCTGTGAGGTTGCGGTGGGCAGGTGGGTGATGTGTGCCTGGAGCCCTCATACATACCCTAACTGTCCATCAAGATGGCAGGTGATACCTGCTGCAAAGGCTAGGAGCCCTGGGAGCTTTGCTGGACACTCGCCACCAGGACCGGAGACCTGGGCCTTTGGCTACAGATCATGGGAACCCGTCTCAAATAAGAACAGGGGGGAAGAAAGGCATGGATCACTCACAGAACTATTCAGGGGTATACTGGTTTCATGTCTGAATCCTAACACTCAAGGAAGCTCTCAGCTTTCCTCTTCTTCCCTCTCCCTGCCCTGTTTCCTTCTCTTGGTGTTTGCTCAAACTCTCTCCTCGGAAGACAGGCATTCTCCAAGCCATGGCCGCTGACCACCCTCCAAGGACTTCCTTCCAGCCACAGAGAGCTCTGACCACCATGACTGTTAAAGTTGGGGGCAGAGAAATGGCTTGTGGGAGAGGAAGCTGGGACTGTTCCCTTCTGATGAAAAAATCAACAGCTTTCTCAGAAGCCCAGAGCAGACTTCCCCTTCTGCCTTATTGACAGCAGTGGGGCCCCAAGGATAGCCCTAGCTACAAGGGACGTTGGGAAGGTGGGAACTAGGGCTGCTGTTGGCTTACACGTATCATGGCCCATTATCTGGAGAGGTCACATGGTCACCTGAGCAAAATTGGGGTTTCTTAGGCCAGAAAGGAGAGAGACTACATTGGGTAGGTAACAAATGATGTTACCATAAG